TAATAGAAAAAATGGATTTGGCAGGGAAAAAACCTGGAACGATTTATCCAAGAATCAAGGCTTGAAAGAAATTTCGACTCGATTGAATATAGGAGTTACCAAACTTACTCACTATTATTACTTTTTAATATTTGTAATAATGACATCAAACAACCTGAGTGCTTCATGGACATGGAACTTTTTACCAGTTGGATATTAACAATGGAAAGAAGACAGATAATAACTTACAATTAATTATTCCTTTTATGTAAGGTCTTGGCTGAGATAAGTGTTACGAGCGGGATTCGAACCCACGATCTTCGGCTAAATACGCCGCTGCTCTCCCACTTGAGCTATCGTGACTTCGATCCTCTCGGACACCAACTCTCCATCTCAACCTACAACCGTTCGAATTTTCCCCCTTTTTACCATTTTCAAATGTTGTATAATCAGGATTCGATTCTCAGCGATATATGAAGTGGCCACGGGGAGCTGTTTAGTGAAGTGATACTTCTTTTACTTACTAAATATTAATCCATTTAGGTTTTAGTGGTCAATTGACCAAATTACTTCTTTCAATTAGTTATTCTTTTTATGTAAGGTCTTGGTTGAGATAAAAGCGAACTCTCGATAGCTCAAGTGGTAGAGCAGCGGCGTATTTAGCCGAAGGTCATGGGTTCGAATCCCGCTCGTGATAATAATCTTAAACTAGGTCTTCAGACTATAAAATTAGCACCTACCCTTGAGATTTGGTGAACATATATTGAAACGGCACTGCGTCCGTCTACACTCGCAGGATTTGTTTCTCTGTGAAGAAGGTACAAAGCCGAAACGCGTTATTTTAGCGGAAACTGGGCTGTTTTATTATAGTGATTGATAGATAGTTTTGTGTTCGCTTTTGTGTTTATTGAGTTCGAATGTATTTATTAGTGGGAATGTATAGTCTTAGATGGCAAATGGTGGAATATTGAGTACTCCCTGGATTAGATTGGTTATTATATAGTTGATAGTGGGTGTTGATCTGCTGTTCGAAGAACGAATGTTGAAACTGGGTCCGTTTACACTCGAGGGTTTTGTTCCTTTCTGAAGAAGTTGCAAAGAAGTCACTTGGTTGTGTAACATCAAAACCGGCCACTATTCTTAGATCTTATTATAGTGGTCGATAGATATCTCGTTTTGGGTTTCTTTTTATGCGTTGAGATAGATCGTATTTACTCGCGTGAATGAGTAGTGCGAGAAGACCAACGGTAGAATAGCGAATCTCATCCACCCTCAATTGGTTATTTAATGAGGAATATCGAGGAGTCTATTACCCTATTGAGTATCATCGTCTAACCGAAGTAGGTGATGCCTCGAGAAGTCATTAGCTCAATTCTTTATAAATGTTTATTTATGTATACGTATATCCAGATTTGAGCTTATATAAATCAATGAATCGGCATTAAAATAAGCCATGAACGCTCATATTTCGGAGGTAAGATATCCTCAAATAAATCAGGTGAAATTTGACCGGTTTGCATACATAGGCTTTAAAAAGCTATTCAAGCAATAGTGTTCTTCACGAATCATGGCATAATTTTTCGCCAAGTTGGCATATAGCCGCCCGTTGATTTTATTTGCTATGTAAATGAAGGGTGGATTAGAATAGTAATTGTGAATGGTGATGAAGCTATCTCGAGAGTGGAACACATCTCATTTGCTTATCCCAAGTTTTCAAACGGACCCATATACACTTCAAACGCAAAATCAAGCTCCTTTCCTAATTTCGTATTTTCCGTTTTAGTACAAAACTAATGAACAGTCGGGGCTCGGAGCGCAATCAGGGTAAGGATTAATTTGCCGACTCCCTTCTGTCTAAGTTGGTTGAGCACCTGCAACCATTTCATAATAATTTTCTTACTGATATTCTTGTTCAGAACAGTTCGTTATATCAATTCATGTTAATAAAATTTAACAGAACTATAATAAAAGCTCTATCATGCCATCATTTCTGGTCAATCGTTCAAACAAACGTAATCAGTCCGAGGTACCGATAGAAATATTAAACCATAACTATTTGGTTAGTATTTATATGACAAATTTTACAATATCTCGTTAAAAATAAAACAAACATAAAAATAAACGTAAATAAAGAGAAGGAGATAGAAACATTTTCACTCCCTTCCACATCATTGTGTCACCTTGGCCTAGGAATAAGCAGGAACTGAGCAGATAAGTTAGCTAATACAAAGAATAGAGAAACACATCGAAATTATTTAAGTTTACAAAATATTTCGTTCTCTCGGCCTGTGGAGGTGGGTCTACAAGGGAAAAGGTCATATTTACTTCCGGACAGGAGTCACCACGATAAACAAGCTCCTCCTAACGGGATTGAGACCGATCCGGTGACCGTTTTGTAGGAAAATTACCACATAATAAAAGATTGTGGAAAATGGAGTATGTAAGAAAAGAACTTAGATATTTCGCATGACCTATCCGCAGCCATGGGGCACAGAAGTATATTTTTACTTGAATGTATTTATTAGCGAGAATGGAAGGGCCACATCTCTCACTCATCGAGTAATATTTATTGGCTAGAATGAAAAGAATGAATGAGAAACAGTTCTTATTTGTACCAATGAACTGAATTTAATCCGAGGCATGGTCATTTATTATTTATTAGGATGGAGGGACTGCTGCGCCAGCTAACCCGAGGTATGTCGAGTACCTATTGAATGGCAGTGTAAATGAAGCCTGGTGTGTGAATTTAATGTATTAACGTGAGTGGAAGAGGTTATTCCCCAATAACCTCTAGAAATATCAAGTTTTCTAGGGAGGTGTGAAATTTTATTAGCCTGAATAGATGAATATCGAATATTCTGGGGCACTGTAAATTTAATTTATTAGCGTGGCTGGAGAAGCTTCATCCTCAATTAAGGAATATAAAAGTATTCTAGGAGCAGTGAACAAACCCCGGTGTGTGAATGTATTTTATTAGCGTGAATGAAGGGACGTCTTTCTTAATTATCCTGAGGAATATCTAGTACTCTGACGCAGATGTTGATTTAATCTAACCAGTCTAACTTGTTTTTAAATGTGCGTGCATATATGTGTAAATTTTGTGTATTTTTTATGCCATGACAATATCCATTGTATACAATTTAAAGCGTTACAACAACGTCAATGCATGTCCATCACAACATCAAGCCATAGAGATTCAGTTTAAAACAAAACAAATAATATTGTTAATTATCTTCATTAATATCAATAATTAATTAAGCAACTTGTTGTTTGTTCGCGATTAACCTGTTTTTATCAAATTAGGAAGAATTTGTTTGGAAAGCAAGACTGCCTCGAAATCCGCATGACCACAAATTTGAGCTTAACACTTGAGGTGTACCGAAATGTTATTGGTCGTTTGGTCAAGATGTAGAGTTAAGTACTGTTTAATTTAGTTTTCAAATCTTCCAGTTGTATAATTTCAACTTTACAGTGTCGCTTGTGGTAGACCCGAAAATGGGCTCGGTAACGCCCTCGCAAAGCTTGTGATTCAGGCCTGCTCCTTTACAGGCCTACTTATAATTTTTTGCAGCTACATGTTATTTTAGAAACTGAGTTCTATTTACAAAATGTCTCAATTTATTTTTGTATGATAGGAAAGATCAATTGTACTTTTGTTTTCCAAATACGAATGTTACATTTTTGCTTTTATGAATATTTTTTATTTTTTGTAATCTGGTAAAAAAGTCAGTGTCCGAGTGTATCGAAGTCACAATAGCTCAAGTGGTAGAGCAGCGGCGTATTTAGCCGAGGGTCTTGGGTTCGAATCCCGCTCGTGACACTGTCTTTTTTATCTCAACCAAAACCTTAATTAAAAATTAATTAATTGAAAACCCTATATAATGTTTTTCAATCATTTTTAAGGAATGTAGTTTACTTATTAGTGTATTAATATAAATAAAGTAATTTTTATACTTATTTTGTTTTTCATTATTAATTATAATGGTCATTTGTTGTGTACTTAGTTAAAAAAGTACTGTTTTTTAAACTATGGACTAATAGTCAATTTTTAATTTTACAATAACTAGTTTCGTTACTTTGTTTTGCTTGTTGGACCAAATGGGATGGGAAATAGTTTAGTTTCTACAGGGTGTCCTTTTTAAATGGCCCGGCTGAATTTCTCTTGATCCAATGACGCTATTAAAAAAAAATCTTTAATATTTTTTAGTTTAGTTTCAACTTTTTACGTTTTTTTGGAGAAAAATTACACAGGGTACCTCAGGCCCAGTTCAACTTCAAAATTTCCAATACGACCCTATACATCCTGAAACTCCGTTTTAACTCCCCTTGACTATATTCTTTGGGGGCCATTTAAAAAACAGCATATCCGCCAATCATAACCCAGCAACCTCAGTTGAAGAACTGCGGCAAAGGATAGAAAATGCTTGTCAATCCATCTTCCCTGACTCTATCGCTCTGAACACCGGTGAAGAGTGGATAAAAAAAGAAAATCTTTGCATCTTGACAAAGAATGACATAATGTAAACAATAAAGGCAATAAATGCGTTGTCATAACTTTGTCATTTATTGACCAATTTCAAATCCGATTGCACCCTTGTTTTCAGCGTAAAAAATCCTTTAAAATGATTTTCGTTTTATCCCTCTATTCTCGCTGCGTGTCCTTCCCATGTTCAATTCATCTTTCTTTCTACTTCGGTTATTTCCATCATATTCATTTTTGTAGTTTATATTTTCTCGTACATAGCAGACTTCATATCATCGCCCTCTGTGTTACTTTTACCTTTTTTTCTACTGAATTTGTGTAGTTAAGTTTGTACCTCAGCAATTTTCTTTTAATTTTTGTACTTATTTTGTTTTTCATTATTAATTATAATGGTCATTTTTTGTGTACTGTTAGTTAAAAAGTACTATTTTGTTAAATTTATTTTTTAACCTTCCGTACATTTATGTGAGGAGTTGGGCTTCCGGCATAATTTTATGTCGATTTCATATTTGTTGACAATTTTTGGTCTGATTTTCAGGATTGCAGCCTGTTACAAGTTTACAAAGAATCGGAATGCGCTTGTGTTTGTACCAATGATGACGACAAAAAGAAATGTTTGGCCGAGAGTGGAACAAAGTACTGGAATGCACAAAAATGCGAATGTAACTGTTTGTATAAAAGTGACTGTTCACAGGCTTTTCTTGGAACAAGCATACTTCAGGTACATAAAATGTTAAATCTTCATCTAATTATTAGCTTTCATAATGCTATTTTACTTTTCATTTTGTTGTAGTTGTATGCCATTGCTAACCCGAAGAACAAATTGCCAACTGAGCAGTATTATCTAAAAAAATAAATAAATAGGCAATTCGATAGAATTTTATAGGTTAGGAACTGTTAACTGTCATGAAAATATAATGATTTAATGCATGGCATTGAAATTACAGTAGCATATTATGCACAAAACATGTAATACTCCCTACTTATAAGATGTAAAAAAATAGCGATAGGACTGAGGGGATAAAGACATTTATAAGGAAAAGGAAATAGAACAGAGAGTAAGTGAGTGAGTGAGATGGAGAGAGGGAGGGAGGGAGAGAGCGAGAGAGAGAGAGAGAGAGAGAGAGACGGCAGCGAGAGAGAATTGATGAATTGTGAATGATAAATTTGTCAAAGGAAATAAACTCAAGAAATCTCTCAAAAGCTCCAAACCAGTCCTTCGCCAACATCATTAACGGATTGTTTTTTCGATGAAAATGATACGGATATCATCGTGCACAATCCGCAATAAGTGCTGACGGAAGGCCTGGCAATTGGGGGATCGATCGGAAGAGAAAAACTCAATTTACGTGATACATCGTTCTCAGCCGACCCATGTACCATTTGAACATCGCGTACAGAATGTTTCCAAGACTTGCAATTTTCGACCCTTTATGCATGTACGATTAGATGTAACAGAGGGCATCGTTACAGAAGGTGAGGCCATTATCATAGTTGGCATTTGCCGGGGTTCAACTGATTGGATTACCATAACAAAGCAGGATGGTCCAATTGAATTTGTTGCCGCGGCTCTGAAATTGGCGGGTGGGTTCCGGTTGGTTGGACCAGGCTAACTACCCGTCAACGGCGCCTGCTAGTGTACCTCGGTTACTAATTGTACATTTTCGAGTGGTATAGGGTACAAGAATGCATCGCTGAACAAATTCTCACCTATGCAAATAGTATTACCACTTGCAAATATGAAAGTTCGAACCAGAACATAAAATTTTATCACTGTTATCAACTTGTTCCCGATTTTTATTACTTGGCGTATAAGCAATTTTTAATATGAACTAAGAGTTGGTATCCCTTTGATACACCTACACATTTTATTTCTGATCTTCCGTTGGAATTTTCCAAGAGGTTTTGTCTGATAGTTGTCTTCCAGTTTTATTAAAAAACTCTTCTCCGCAATTTTCTCGAAAGTTCCGTAGTTTTTTTCTTTCTTTTTTTTTCTTCTTTACAATAAACGGAACAAAAGTTTTTTTTCTTCAATCTGTTAAAATGCGTTACAAAATTTAAAAAAACTACTCGTCAACCATATAATTCTAACTGTTTTTCTGAATCATTAAACTTTGGCAATAGATGTTGAAACTCTATCAAGTAACAACTCCAACCCTCCCAGTTTCATTTTCCCGCCGGAAAGAAATTTGTCCAACATTTACCCCCGGAGCCCAGATATAGAAGATTGCACCCATAAAACCCTTTGTTATGCAGGGAAGAGAATTGCTTCTTCTAATGAAACCTTTACAAAAGTTTTCAGGCTATTGTGAAACGGCAACTTTAATTGGCGGCCTCTCTAGCAGACATTTCATTTGAAACGGTTATCAACATAATTCCATAAATTTCCTCATTCTGGAAGAAGACAGAAATCTTTTACGATACCACTATAACATATTCACACGTGTTCGGTGATTAACCGGTTTTTTTTTTGGAAAATTACTAAAAAATTTGTTTACAAAGAATTTCAAAGACAAAATCGATTATCTAACTATGTACTAGCCCAATCTCTCCTCTCATTCACTTTCTCTCTCTCTCTCTCTCTCTCTCTCTCTCTCTCTCTCTCTCTCTCNATGATTAAGAATTTTGATTGAAGTTTAATCATGATTGAATTAGTCATGAGTAAATTAATCATTATATGATTTAGTCATACCTCATGATTGAATTAATTATGATTAAATCACATAATGATTAATCTACTCATGACTAATTCAATCATGATTAAACTTCAATCAAAATTGTTAATCATGATTGAATTAGTTAGATTTTGCCCAACTCTGGTGTGGGGGGAATTTCAATCGAGAGTCGCACAGAGTTGGTTGTGGACGGTTTTGGGCTGCCACTCGCTATGTGGATGAAATTTTGGGACATCACGCGTTGCCTCTCCTCGATGAAATCCGCGACAATCCTATTCTAATGCACGATAATGCCCGTCCACATGTCGCTCGCATAGTACATACCTACCTTCAACAGCATAACATCAGGGTCTTAGCCTAACCAGCCCGTTCTCCAGACTTGAACCCCATCGAACATTAATGGGATAACCTCAAAAGACGAATAACAGAACGTCCATCGCTTCCTGATAAACTCCAAGATCTTGAAAGGACTCTTCGTGAAGAATGGGCTAACCTTCAGCAAAGAGACATTTCCAGATTGGTACAAGGTATGCCGAGGCGTCTTCAATATGTAATTAAGGCAAGATGATGAAATACGCGATATTGTAATGTTCATTAAAAATCTAAAAAAAAAAAAAAAACACTGTTGGTGCATCGGTGGCCGCTACGGTTTAGGCGTTGACACGGCGCTCATCACTGTAAGGTAAAGGTCCCGGGTTCGAATCTAGCGGCCGAGAATAATCAAAATAGTGCTATTCCCGTGGAAGAGGTGTGAGAAAATATATAGTCACGCCCCACAAACCTATCTACGTCATCTCGTTCTGAAAGTATAGAGTTAACTAGGTTAACTACCGACCATGAATGAAGGACTACATGAGCACTTGGTAATCTAGCGTAATCATAACTTACCGGAAGACATCGTCTACTTTTTGGTAACTTGGCCATTTTTAATCTTGGTAAACAGCACTTGAGGAAAGAAGTAATGTCATAGGTATAACCAGCCATGTCTAAAAGAAAACTCACAATGAAAAAACAAGTTAATATTGCCGAATTTATCAACATAGCCGCTAAATATAATAACATAGTCAAACATTTCAATTATTAACTATCCATATTAATAATAAATAAACAAACAAACATAATGTAATAATATTAATACTAATTAATTTATATGTAATTGATGTAACATTTTCGGAGGGCAGAGGACGTCAATAATTATAGTTTTCCTGATGATCCTTCATGATTTTGTTTAGCCGTAAGTATTCAATAGGTCATGCTAGTCAAAATTTAAAGCCCAGAAAATGGCAAAATATATCATTAATTGAACAAAATTGACCAGAAATTGGATTAGTTTTTAAGGGAAGGATCGGAGAGGGTGGATAAAGGACGACCGGATGTTTTCCTAAGCGGAAGGATGCTAATGACGGTGTATTGAAAAGGCTGACATCTCAAACCTCTACCTAGTCGGCTTTATTGGTTCGGCACCCTCCTATTGTCAACTCCTACCAGTCAACTCAAAGGGAGCAAAGAGTTGAACGTTTTAATAGCACTGTTATTGCTCCTTGTCCCAATCTAAAAGCTAGAAACGACTTTTCCGCACCGCCTTTTAAACAAAGGATTTACATCAAAGCAATACTCAAGTTGTGAGTTTCATGTTTAATGAACCTAGGAGCAAAATACTTGGAACAATTATTCGAATGATTTTATACAAATTTCTTCTTCAGAGAATGGCATCTATACACAAACTTTCAAACTCTCTCACTCTTCTCTCTCTGTCTCTCTCTCACTCTTACGTTTTTACTGCTGCAAAAGAGGTCGTTTGCGATTTTTTAAATAAAACGATATTGATTCTCTCTTTCTCTCTCTCTCTCTCTCTGAGAGAGAGAGAGAGAGAGAGAGAGAGAGAGAGAGAGAGAGAGAGAGAGAGAGAAATGAGTACATTTCTTAAAGCTTCTATCACACCCTTCATAAGAAGAAGGGACTAAACTAGGTATAACCCTTGACCAAAGGCTCAGTTGTCATATCACATCAGACCAAGGCACTACTAACCATTGGTCCGAAATTATGCAGCAAAAACTAAGGCATATTCCCCAGAATTGGTTAAACGCTTCAGGTCACGTTTGTAATATGGTAGCCTAAAATGGTGCAAAAACCCTTGGACCAGTCCTATCTTCCAAGCTCCATGCAATCCAACCCTGCATATCACATCAGTCTTACTAACTATTGGTCTGGGATTATGCAGCAAATACTAAGGAATTGGTAAGGGGGGCGTTGATGGCCGCAATGGTTTAGACGTTGACACGAAGCTCATCACTGCAAGGTAAAGGTTTCGGGTTCGAATCCAGCGGCCCTGCATTCGAGCCCGACATACTTACAATTGGGCTTTTTTTCAAAAACACCACTATATGACCTCTGCTGTTGCGAATCCTCGAAAAAAACAAAAACAAAAAAAAAACTAAGTAATTGGTCTGGCGTATAACAGAGCATTGGTTGTAAGCCTTTGGTCACATACAAAAGGTGCTCAGATTTACACACTTTTGGACTGACAGGCAGCACAAAATGCCTATGCTTTCAGGACTAAACTATTCTGGGAAAATTTGTCCTAGGAAAACCCAACAATGTGGGTTTTGGCACATGAAGGTATGACAGGAAATAAACAGGATGGGCAACTAGCCAAACCATGGGCCTGGAAACATAACTGGGCAAAGTGGAGAGTGTGCTAAGGCTGGAAAAATTACTTAAGAAAGAAAACTGAAACCCCGGACAAAAGCACTAGGTATGAGGTAAAAAGGAAAATTTTTCCAGGTTCTTAAACTAGATTTTATTTAGTGAATATCCGTATTTTTTGAGCAAAATTAGTGGTTATTTTCCCTGTAAGATAATTATAATTAATTTTTGGAAGGGGGCGGCTATATTTCGATTCCGTGATCTAACCTGCCATTCTCACACCCAAAAATTTTCCCACGGTAAAAGTAGGTTGATAAATTCGTTGTTTGCGTTTTGTACTTGTGGTTCGACTATTCTCACTATTCGTTTCAATCATCTTCCGACTGAATGAACCACGCTAATCAACCCTTGGGCCATCCAGCAACGTTTTGCTATAAATTGAATTCCTGTTTCGAATTTAAAAGGGGCACATCTAAAACAGCAAAGTGCTTGGTTGAACGAAGTAGAAGTAAATTAAAGTTTAAAATTTAAACTTCGTGTTAAAACCGTTAAGAAACACTAAACGAGGCCAACTTTACTGAAGTATTGATCAATATTTTTAGTAAAAAGGTAATAAATAATTTTATTATTGCAAATAAAAGCGTGGTGTTTCTTGGACATAAACAGGAGCTTGAGCATAAATGGCCCAAATAGCCTTCCTCTTTTAAGCTCAGATCAAAATCCAATCTTCTTTCCTCTTCTTACC